CGCGCCACGCCACGCCACGCCACGCCCCGCCAGGCCCCTCCCCGTGTGCGAAGAGCCCATCTCTCCAACCGTGCGGCCCTATACAATCGCTGTAGCACTTAGTAGTATCGGGCGGCCCGGTGTGTCGAGTGTCACCGTGACCAGGGGGCTCCTCGCGGCGACGACACGCGTGTTCGGCGACACAGACACAGCGACACGCGGCGACAAACGCGGGCGGCGGTGCGGCGATACGCGCGGCGGGGACGCGAAAGAGACGCGAAAGGAACGGTTGTCGCGGACGCGATTTTCTTCCTCGCGAGGGAGGCGGGCCGGGGACCGTCAGGAGCACGCCATCCTCGAGCTCGAGCAGCAGGCCGTCATCATGGTCTCCGCGTCGTGACGCGCGGCCCGCGCCGGCCTCACGACACGCGCGCCACCAGGCCCGCGGCCCGCACCAGCACGCCGGCCGCATCGGCCGCATCGGCCACCCGGAGGGCCCGGACGCCATGGACTACAGGCCGGTGCCGCAGCGCGAGCGGGACGGCGAGGGCGGCGGCGGCGGCGGCGACGGCGGCGACGGCCCCGAGCTCACGGAGCACAGCCTGCTGAGACAATACGGTGCGTTTGTGTGTGAGTAGCCGGTGCCGGGCATGACCCGCAGGCGCACGGCCATAAACGGCCCGCCCCGGCGCCGGCACGCCCGCGATCCCTTTCCACCGAGTTTATTTGATTAGAGCTCGCGAGCTCGCGGCGGCGACCACGGATTTCTCGGAAAACACAAAGACACGGCGAGCCTGCGACGCGGGGTCTCGCCGTGGCAGTGATGTCACCTTCCCGCCTGCGGGCGGCGGACGCGCGACCACCGCTCGCCACCACCCCACCACCCCCACGGCCACCGACACATCTACGCGAAACTGTGCCGCCAAAGACGGCAAATACCGAGTGGGCCCGGTGAGGCGCAGCCAGGTGTAAACCCTGGGCGTCCCCATGTGGTGTGACTTATCGGCACTCCCCGGGGACTCGAGATCGAAATCCCCGGGATCTCCTTAATCGGGCGGAAGGATTATCGCTGCCGCCCCGTCCTAGGTGCC